AACATTTCTGTAATCTATATAACCTACCAGTCAACAGTTTTTGAGCAGTAAGATTTTTAATCTTGATTCAAAGTACAGCAAAAGCAGTAACGTTGTGAAATATTTTTACTATTTAAAATAACTGCTTTCTATTTGAATATATTTTAAAATGATTGCTGTGATCAAAGCTGTATTTTCAGCATCATTACTTCAGATCTTCAGAAATCATTCTAATATGCTGATTTGCTGCTCAAGAAATATTTCTTATTAATATATTCAGTAATACACCTTAAAACACGTTGTGAAATATTTTTACTATTTAAAATAACTGCTTTCTATTTGAATATATTTTAAAATGATTGCTGTGATCAAAGCTGAATTTTCAGCATTATTACTCCAGTCTTCAGTGTCACATGATCTTCAGAAATCATTCTAATATACTGATTTGCTGCTCAAGAAACCTTTTTTAATTTTTATTATTATTACTATTAATGTTTTTGAGCAGCAAATCAGAATATCAGAATGATTTCTGAAGGATAGTGTGACTGGAGTAATAATGCAAACAATTTTGCTTTGAAATCTCTATAAATTACATTTTAAAATATATTCAAATAGAAAACAGTTATTTGAAATAGCCTAGCAAAAATATTTCAAAATTGTACTGTTTTGCTGTACTTTGGATCAAATTAATGCAGGCTTGGTGAACAGAAGAGACTTCTTTAAAAAACATGAACAATCTTACTGTTCAAAAACTTCTGACTGATAGTGTATAGTCAACTTTAATTTTTCTCTCATTTCTAACTTTTAATTGACTTATAAATCATAATATAACTGCTGGACAATAACCAATAATAATGATTTGTTTATATACTACAAACACTTTTTTATCACATAATAAGGCAGCATAGTTTCAATACTGTAATAAATGCTACCCTGATAGCACACGTACATCTCGGAGACCTTTATTTGATGTCTGCATTTACTGCATTTACATGTCCGATGACCAAGATGGCGGCGCGTTCACACGCTGCGGCTTCTCTCTCT